TTGTGGGTGCTCCAACACTGGAGGCCTTTAAGCAGGGGTGGGATTCAAATTTTTAACAACCGGTTCTGTGGGTGTGGCTTTGGTGGTGGGCATGGCTTGGTGGTCATGTGACTGGCTGGGCGTGGCCAACTCAATATCACTCACATCGAGGCACGCATCTCCTCGCCTGGCCTCTCGTGACTGTGGTGATGCTGCAACAGACATAAGTGTGAAAAAGGATCATAAGTCACCTTTTTCAGTGCCATTGTAACTTTGAATGGTCACTCCATACAAGCAAAGTACCAGCAAAGGAGGGGAAAAAAAACTCCAGAGATGTTCCTGAGATAGGAAGTCTAGTCCTGCCAAAAATGTAATAAGGGTTAACGGAGAGGCAGTTTCTATAAGCAACACCAGAATGTTTCCTTCCTGCCTTCCTTACAGGATTAGCCCAGTAATTTCTTCTAACAACCAGTTCTCCGAACTGCTTAGACTGTTAACAACTGGTTCTGGCGAATAGGTGCAAACTGGTAGAATCCCACCCCTGCCTTTAAGAAGAGACTGGACAACCATTTATCCAGAATGGTTTAGGGTATCCTAGTTAAGCAGGGGTTGGACCAGAAGACCTTGAAGGTCTCTTTGAAACCTGTGATTCTATGTTCTGTGTCAGATTTTGCAAATGGCGTGGCAGCTTCACTGTGAATTTTTAGATAAACGTAAAGTTTAGTTTACTTTACTTTATTGTCATTGTATCTCGTACAATGAAATTAAAGGAAAATTAGGAAAAGCTTTTGTGATTCAGAGTTGATGAACTATGTGAAGAAGCCAACATGATAGAACTGTAACATTGCTGGGCTGTTTTTCTAATCATGTCCGAGGGAGGAGATCTCGTAAGGCTGAAGCATGAAAGGCCATCTGGCACATGCAGCTTGAGTAGGTTTCCAAAGTAAGATTCATCCTGGAGTTATTTCTCCAGTCAAGGCGGATGGTCTCAGAGTACCCCCCCCCCCCCCGGGGAGCTCTCCAGATGCCAAGGAAATGGAGAGCGAGAGCAAGGAGCTTCCACTCCTGCGTGCACTTCTCGGGCCATGGAAACTACAAGGAAAAGGGCAAGAGGGAGAGTCCTGAGAAAATGGGAGTGTTGACTAGGATGCCTTGCAGGAAGAAGTCACAGGAAAGAGAAATCTGGCTTGTGATGTCATGGGATGGCTGTTCTGCAGAACATATATCACATATTAGAAATATTAGAAATTAGAAAGGAAGTGGGGAGGGAGGGAGAGAGAGAAGGAAGGAAGGAAGAGAAGATAAGGAAGGGAAGGCAGGAGGACATAGGAAAGAAGGAAGGAAGGAGGAAGGATAAGGAAGGGAGGGTGGGAGGACATAGGAAGGAAGGAAAGATAAGGAAGGAAAGATAAAGAAAGGAGGTCAGGAGGATGCAGGAAGGAAGGAAGGAAGGAAGGAAGGAAGGAAGGAAGGAAGGAAGGAAGGAAGGAAGGAAGGAAGGAAGGAAGGAAGGAGGATGGGAGGATGTAGGAAAGAAGGAAAGAAGGAAGGATGGAAGGATAAGGAAGGGAGGTCGGGAGGACATAGGAAAGAAGGAAGGAATGATAAGGAAGGAAAGATGAAGGAAGGACAGGAGGATGTAGAAAAGAAGGAAGGAAGGAAGGAAGGAAGGAAGGAAGGAAGGAAGGAAGGAAGGAAAGAAGGAAGGGAGGGAGGGAGGGAGGGAGGAAGGAAGGAGGATAAGAAAGGGAGGTCGGGAAGACATAGAAAAGAAGGAAGGAATGATAAGGAAGGAAAGATGAAGGGAGGACAGAAGGATGTAGGAAGGAAGGAAGAGAATAAGGAAGGAAGGATAAGAAAGGGAGGTCGGGAAGACATAGGAAAGAAGGAAGGATAAGGAAGGAAAGATGAAGGGAAGGCAGGAGGACGTAGGAAGGAAGGTAGGTTTATGTTGCAAGTTGACTGACTCCATTTATTCTCAACTCTCATAACTAATATGAAAGAAAGGAAGTGTTTTTTTGTTTTTTTTTACAAAAGACAGTGTAATTGATTTTATCCTTTCTGCATGCTTTGGGGGTTAAATATTATTGTGAATTGTTACCTACCTTCTCTGCTGGGCCTCTGAGGAGCAAACTCTTTACGCTGGCCAAATGCTATGCTTATACCATATAATTTTTCCATATTACGTTCACTATCCATAGGATTTTTTATGCAGCTTTTTTTTAAAAAAAAAAAAAATAGTTTTGCCCAATGTTGAAAAACCCTACTTTTGCAAATCCCTTGATTAAGCAACTTAGTGTGACAGCACAAACCAGAGCAAGTCTTTTTCTAACATTATCTTTGTGGTAAATATGGAAAAAAATGAGGACATAAAATGACAATTATTAAGGGAAGAGTTATCACACGTTTCAAATAAAATGACAAGACCATATTTCCCAGAAATATGTAATTAGGAGAAATGTGGAAAAGTCGTCTTGCAGTGAATTATTCTAGCCTTCTGCAGTGCCAGATCCTACTGCCAGATTCAGGTTAATGTCAGCGTTCCAAGTTAACAAGCTCCAGATTAAAAGACTCCAAGACTGTCATCTTCTCAAAGATCCATTTTATTAGAGATGTCATCTTGGCACATCTGAGGAAAATCCCTAATCTGAGATTTCCAGGTTTTCTCTCGCCCAAAGAAAATCCAAAATCCAACCCCTGCACCCCATAGTTCTTCACATGGTCCAATCATTACTTCGTTCCAACTGGAGACTATCCCCAGTCACTCCCCTCCAGGTGCAGGGCAACCTGTCCTTGACTCTCTGAGAAAGGGATGTTGTTGTGCCTAATCTTCCACTGCTCTTTGAAATCCTCCCTCCCAAATTTCCAGGCACTGAACGTGGAAGCCCAGAAGCCTAAAAAAAAAAAAAAGGCTTCCAAGCTGACACCTACCTCAATCTAGAAACGATGTGCAACTACAATATTTTGGGCCTAGCAATAGACTTGGTAACTGGGACTGGTATGTAATGCCTTAATGGGGAAGCCTGAGGAGGATATGGCATGATGGTATAACCAGGGGTGGGATGCTACTGCTTTGGCCCGGTTCTATAGAACTGGTAGCTCTGAAGAGCAGTTGTCATGCCCCTGGTGGAGACTGACTTCAAGAGAGAGGAGGAACAGCCGACAGGGAGTGGAAGTGTGGCTCCGGAGGTTGCGGAGGAGGCTGGGGAAGGGCAGAGGCCGGCTGAGCAGTCAGAGGAGGACCCAGGCCCACCCCCTCTGCATCCTAGGGCACGCAGGGAGAAGAGGATAAGGGAGAGACGTGAATGGCGTGGTCTACGGGGGAGGAAAGGGCCCTGATCCTCTTCATGGGCTGCAGCTGTGAGAACTGGTTAAAGGGACGGACATGCGTATAGGCCAGTGCTGGAAACAAAGCGTGGAAATAATCTCTAGTCTGTCGTTCCTCTCTGAATTTGGCGTCCTTCCCAGTGTGTGTTATCTGTGGACCTCCTCCAGCCCTTATCTTACCTGGTTTGTGTTGCTTTTTTCCTTCTTCTTGTAACTATTTGTGTGGAAGCTTTTTTGTCTTCCGTCAAAGATATTCGGAGCTTGGAAGCAAAGTGAAGGAATAAAAGGGGCTTCACCTGTTTTCTGTGACTGTGTTTGTTTTGTATTCCACCCTGGGTCATCACAGGAAGGAAGGAAGGAAGGAAGGAAGGAAGGAAGGAAGGAAGGAAG